ATGCTAAATTCTCTTCTTTTCCCAATGAATGTATCAAATATTTATTTTATTATTTTATTGGGCCTAGAGTTACATTAACTATTAAAAATAATCAAAATTAATTGTAGTTTTTATTCTATTAGTTGTTAATGGTATCCATGTATTAAAAAATTCAATTAAATATATTTGACTCATTTTTTGTTTGTTGTCAAAAAATGCAGCTAGAAAATAAGGAATCAAATGATCCACATGCCACATCATATATGGCATATCCATTGGAGATGGTCTTATGTGGCATTTTGATATTTTTGAAATTTTTTCTCTCTACCCGATTTGTCAAATTAAATTATTAAATTATAAATTTTTTTTTTCCTTTATTTCTATTTTATATTTTAAAGATTCTATGAAATTAATAGAAAATTAGTAGTCTGAAGCAAAAGGAACACCTTCTGCAAAAATAATAGGACATGCCCTTCTGCTTCAGTGGGTATTTCACCGGAGCAAATCTTGAGCAAATACTCTTTGAGTTTTTGTGCAAGATCAAGGTCCCAATTGGATTCTAGGTGACGCTCTGCTGCACTGTATGAAATTCGCCTCCACCGTCGCCGTTGTTGCTTCCACCTGATTCGTCTCTAGCGTTAGTTGATGTGATATAAACTAACACACCAATTAACCCTCTTTTTAAATAGTTGTAGTATGTGAAAGTAGGAATCGTTTTAGACCAGGGATTAGGAGGGATGCTAATCTACTCAAATTAGACTCAATTACACTTAACTAGACTCTTCTGACTCAAGACTGACTCAAAACTACACAAAACAAACAAATTGACTCGAAACAATGTGTATGGACGAATTCTAACTTATGTTGACTCAAAACACTAAACAGAAACCAGTTTGAAAATATTCTAACTAAAGGACACGAAATATAAAAGGGGAAGTGGTTTTTGACGAATTTAAAGTAAAAGCAAACAGATTTAAAGACTCTAAACAACTTTGGACGAAATTGGGTGTTTTAGTGGGTGAATGGCTAGCTAGAGGGTTCATCTCCACACATGACACATATGCATACAAATCTATTTCCAGTTATTATTCCTATAAACTATGAATGACAATGCCCTAAATTAATTGTGAACTGCACAAATTAACTCTCAGATTTTCCTAATTTCTTTAAATTGGACTCAACGACGCAATCAAATTATTCTTATCAAGTTCCCTATATGAACTGCATGATAGAGATACAAATCAAAGATCATTAAGTTCTATGAAAATCATAAGCATTGACAAGGCATTCGTAGCTATGAACTGCATGATACTCCTGCCATGGATTTACTTAACACAATCATGACTAGTGATTTCTACTACTTATAAATATAAGTTCATAACTATTAGTGAAATTCCCTTATATTTTAGCATCAGATTCATGCATGCAAACTAAGTGTGCACCCTTAATTAACATACAAGAATAAGTTATCAATCAAACAGATAAATAAAGCGCATTCATGTTTTACGAAACAATAACTGGAGTAAATCAATTCATATCACATATCTGTTCATGGCTTCAAATTCGCCTCTAACTAAAAAGAATTTAGTTCCTCATGTTCATCATAATTGAAAACCAAATTAAAATAAACATCGAACTAAAACTAAGGATAGAAAGAACCTAGAAACGCTTCAGCACTCCAAAGTAGGCAGCGACACTTCCTTGGATGGTGGCAGGCACGGCACTCTTCCTCTCATTCCTTCCTTGCACAGCACAAGTCTCTATAACTCTCAGAAACCTACGGCACACTCTTTGTATTTCTCTGAATTTCTCTCATGTGTGTCGTCTGAATTATGCGGCAGAAATTTGTATATATAGGCCTATGGTTATGCACAATTTCTGAAGGGAAAATGATTGCACAATCCTAGGGGGAAAAGGTTAAGGTTACACAGCAGAGAATGGGCCACCTAGAAGGAATAGGTGCGGCATAGAAATAGGACCAGATAAGGCCTTCTAGAAAGGGTATTATGGCAGGTTTCTAGAAGGACAAGGGATAAGGGGTGCGGCACCAATGTAGGAGAAGGATAGGGCTTCTAGAAACCTGATTTGTAGGTATCCTAATGTCATTTAGATGTCCTCCTTGCAGCTGGAATTAAGGTGGAATAAGATTATGTTAGGATAAGATAAGATAAGGTTGGATAAAGTTTGGATAAGATAAGGTTGTTTGGATAATGTTTCCTTCTTTTTAGCTGATTCCTTATCTTCCAAGCTTCCAAATTTGTTTCTCTAGATATTATGCACATTCCTAGCCTCTCTTGAACTTTAAATTCATCCATCCACCTTGCTCCATATGCAAGTTATCAATTCCAGCCCAAAATTGCTCTAAAATGCACCAAAATGCACTTTCTTGCCTTTTTTGCCATTTAAACCTACAAACACACGAAAATAGCTTAAATCACTATAATAAATAGAAACTAACTATGTAAATGCAAGAAAACAAGCTAACCAAGTCGCATAAATATGCTCCTATCATTAGTCAGCTTCCGTGAGTCGGATTGTGCATTGGCGCACCATGGAGGTGCTGGATTCATATTTGGTGGGGACTAGGTTTTTCAATTTGGGGGTTTTCTGAACGCGATGATTTTTTTTAGTCGAAATTAGTCCACAAATTGTGTGAAAGATGGAAAATCAAAGATTTTCTCTTCATGAGTTTGGTCTTGGTTTGATAGGAAGATGGATAGAGCATGAGAGAAAGCGAGAGAGGGCAAAAAATTTAATAAAAAAGATTTAATAATTAATTAAAAATTATTTGAAACTGCTGTCAAAATTGACAGCAACCCTTTCTGCTGGAGAAATTTTTTAGTGTTCGGTTGGAAAATTCTTGTGCTTTTTTTTTATTATTATTGTTATTAATGATTTGAACTTTTGACATCTCTTTTAAAGATGCTCTAAATGAAGCAGAAAAATAACATTTTATAAGGTTTTACTCCCTGCTTCTCGAGCTCATATAGATCAAGATTCAAGGCAAACCTTTATAATTAAGTCAAGTAAGAGAAAAGGCATGTTAAAAACTCGTTCAGCCAAGGCCATGTAAGATGCAAGTTTGGACTTTCTTGTGAATACATTTATTTCATCCCATAATATTTCAAAAATAAATTGAAAATTCTAGAAAGTAGATGTTGTATGGGGAGGAGAAGGCCTACAAGGAAGATGGAGAAGGGTGACGAAGGCTTGGTGGATGAGTTGTCGTCAAGGATGTGGGGGTGTAAGCTGGGTGGTGTCTTTAGTGGGGAGGGGTAAAATTAAGAGAGAGAATGAGAGGCACCATCTTAGAGAAATTTTTCATTATGACTGAAATATGGGTAGTAACATTATGTGTTTTTATATAAACGGTGGGAAATTGTATTTTTTAAATTATTAACTTTTTAGCACACATTTTTCATCATTGATATAATGACACGTAGTGTACCACTTCGTGTTCCAATCACCCTGAAAAATCTCTCGCCATCCTAGGGTAATTTTCGTGCTAGTTGGTATATCAATATTTTTTAAACTGAATATTGATTATCATTATTTGTTGAATTGAACACGGGTATTATCATTATTTCTTAAACTTAACACTAGTACCATCACTAGTTTTTAAACCGAACACTAACTATTTCTAAAACTAAACACGAATATTAATACTAGTATTATCACTATTTCTTAAACTGAACATTGACTATTTCTTAAATTGAACACTAATTATTTGTAGAACTAAACATGGATACTATCACTATTTCTTAAACTTAACACTAGTTCTATTGCTATTTCTTAAACTGAACACTTACTATTTCTTAAACTAAAAACTGATTATTTATAGAACTAAACAACGGTACCCTCAATATTTAGTAAACTGAACATTGACAATTTCTTAAACTGAACATTGACTATTTCTAGTACTGAACAACGGTACCATCACTATTTCGCAAACTGAAACTATTTCTAATACTGAACAGCGATACCATCACTATTTTGTAAACTGAACATTGACTATTTCTAGAATTGAACACAAGTACTATCACAATTTCTTAAACTGAATCTCACTATTCCTAGAACTGAACAACGATACCCTCATTATTTCGTAAACTGAACATTGACTATTTCTTAAACTAAATGCTCACTATTTTTATAACTGAACAACGGTATCATTACTATTTCGTAAACTGAACACTAATTATTTTTTAAGCTGAACATTGATTATTTCTTAAATTGAACATTGACTATTTCTAGAACTAAACAACGATCGTAAACTGAACACTTACTATTTTTTAAACTGAACACTAACTATTTCTAGAACTAAACAACGGTATCATTGCTATATCGTAAACAGAACACTGATTATTTCTTAAACTGAACACAAGTATTACCATTATTTCTTCAATTGAACACGAGTTCTATCACTATTTCTGAAACTGAACACTGACTACTTCTAGAACGGTTTAAATTCGGGATGAGAGAAGGCAGAGGTTTTGAAGATGGAGAAACTAAGGTTTGATCATGAGATTTGAAGGCAAAGAGAAAATGGAGGTGCTAGCGTTCCCTAATGACAATAGAGATGTTTAACGAAGTTCGTTATTTAACAAATTTAGGCCATTCTAAGCATTCCAATTGTATTTGGCTACTTGATGCCCTGGAGACTTTCTGTTTTCACATTTGAATTTGAATGGTTCGTTGGCTATCCATTGTTACTATCTATGAATTATGGCGATTAAATAAAACACCATATCACAGACAAACAAGAAGAGGACAAAGTAACCGCTCTTGCATAAAATTTCGATTTAATAAAAGAAACAACACATCTTTTATATATAAAGCTGGAGCTTCAGTTTGGTCACACACTTCGATAAAAATGATTGGATCAAATTGGCCCTAGGCTCAAAAAAAATCAAAACAGCAAAATTTAACGCATAAAATAATACAAGGGTAATTTTGTAAATTTAGTTTTAAATAATGCCCTGCTTCTTTGTTCCACACCACTTCATTCTTGCTTCACCGCGATTTGGTGAGTCTCGACTTCTGTCTCACAAACCTCTGCTTGTGTCGCTCTCTCCTCCACTGCTTCAACTCACAACCCCAATCTCCACCACCACAAAACATCAAATCTCCTTTTTTCGGTTTCTGAGTTGTAGGCAATTTAGGGTTAGGGTTTTTTGAAAGGGGCTTTCTACTTCAGTATTTTCTGCTGTTTCTGAGGTCTAACGGAGGAGGTTTTATCGGGCAAGGAGATAAAGCAATTAAATTTTAAAAATCTGGATTTACAGTTCGTATTTTGAGCCTGAATTCATGAAAACAAACTTAACCCATTATTTATCAGCGATAATTGATCTGATTAATTTAGTTTTTAATCATAATCAATGGCATGTAGCTTTAGCAGGAGTGGGGTTTGGGAAATTAGCCAATACCCATGTTGCTTTTTGTTCGTATGCTTTCCATTTCTCCTCTCTTGCCATCTTCTCTGTATTTTTACCCTTGGTTCCGTGGTTCTCCGGCCGCCGTTAAGGTTTGCTGGATTGTCCGCTTTGCTGAAAACTATGTCCGAAGGCCAGTGCAAGAGATCGCTATTGGTCAGCTTGAACCACCAACGATCTCTTCGTTGATATATCCTCAGCATTAGCAGACTGTTCTCCAAAGGTTGCTTTATCTGTCTTCCGTAGCATTTTACCCTAATATCGTTATGTATTATAAATTTATTACAAAGCTACAAGATATAATTCATTGTCTTTGCTTCAGGATTTTCAGCATGGGGTGGAATTTGTTGCAGAGCATGTACTCCCGCTGCTCATACCTCTTCTTATTGACCAGCAATTAAATGTTCAGCAGTTTGCCAAATACATGCTCTTTGTCAAGGATATTCTGAGGTAATAATTGAATGTTTTGAGTTTTACCCAAGTAATGTAGATTATTATCAAAATTGTAGAAAGAAGCAAACAACATATGCATGAAGATTTTATGAAGTACAAAGAACCAATCATGTTACCCTATGTCTTTCCTGAAATGCCTATTTAAATTTGTTCGTTTTGAAAATGAGTCAACCAAACCATTTTCTGGATCTTCCCAAGCAGGGACCATTGTTCTTGGCAAAATGCAGTAGTATTGAAGCTAAATGATGATTGTTTGAACTAGATTCAGGAAAATGTGAGTTTAGTAGAGAAATACTGTGTTGCCAGAATTTGGCATTTATGTTAAATGCTGCTTTTGGTATTTTAGTTTGTTTTTTTGCGTTGTGTTGATTATTGTGGCTGCTTGCAGGACCATGCTTTATTTCTTCAAGTTGGCAACGATTGCAGAGGTAAGCTCTCTGATGAAGTCATCTACTTTACACTTTATTTCTTTTTACATATGGCTAAATTTTTTTCATGGATTTATGTATTTCTTTCCTGTGAATTCGAATTCAAATCGGATTTATAGATTAGTAGAAACAAATTTCATGAATTTTTTTATTTGCGTGTGTGTTGGTTCTGTTCTTTAGCTACAAGCAAATAATCTGCATATAATTAGTATTTAGGATCTAATTTTTTTGGCTTTTCAAGAGTAGCAGCAAAAGGTACCTTTTCTTTTTTTCTATTTTTGTAATTTTCAAATGTGATTAAATTAGTTGTCAAATGATTTCTTTTTTTTTTTTAACAATTTTTTTTAACAAACGATATTATATACACTAAGGGGGGAGGGGGTGGGCTTAGTCTCACAATGGACTAGCAATGATGTGATTCAATCAATTGTTTATTAAATATTATTCTCTATTGTTAAAGACGTTCAAAACATCTTAAAAAGCGTGTAATGCCGGTTATAAAAAATGTTTTTTGCACGAGGATAATAATGTGATTTGCAAACAATAATAATGTGATTAAATTAGTTGTTAAATTATTATTATTATTTTTTTTTTAATTTTTAATTTTTTTAAACAAACGATATTATCTACACTAAGATGGAGGAGGATGGGTTTAGCCTCACAATGGGCTAGCAATAATGTGATTCAACCAGTTGTTTATTAAGTGCCGGTTATAAAAAAAGTATTTTGCACGCGGGTAATAATGTGATTAAATTAGTTGTCAAATGATATTTATTTATTTATTATTTTTTAACAAAATATATTATCTACGCTAAAGGGGAGGATGTGTGCTTAGCCTCACAATGGCTAGCAATAATGTGATTCAATCAATTGTTTATTAAATATTATTTTCTATATTCTTAATATAAATTCTATAAAGACCAATTTTATTATATGAATTCAGCTACTTTAATTGGTTTATGAGGGATTTCTTCTAGTATAATCTAAGATTATTCATTTACTTTAAATATTTAACTTTCCTTTTGTCAATTTTCGCATACAAATACATTTAAAACATGTAAGTCGCGTTTAACACACCGTGATTCAAAAAATGAAGACTAGTAAGTCAAGAAAATAAATAAACCCACCACTCCCAATTAACCAATTTGTCAAAAAATAGATACCGCCAACATTTTTTGACTATATATACCAATAAATAGATACCGCCAACATTTTTTTGACTATATATACCAAAAGAAGATAAGAAGAAAAAAAAAAGGGAAAATTGCAGACTTAACAAAAAAAAATATCAATGCAGCCATCAAATCACCCCATATAATGACCATATGAAAATATTTCAGACTTGGAGTGCATGGAACCGTCAGCTCAAATCTTTGACCATGCGAAGGTAGTACGGATCAAAGTGGAAAATCATGTGAGTTGAAGTTTGGGAGCTACTACCTTTTTGCTGTTTTTTTTTTTTTTTTTTTGTGGAAATTTTGGGAGCTACTACCTTTGGCGTGAACAACATAGAGAAAACATGAACGATGCTATGATTAAGAGATTGAAGGATCACCTATTTGTGGCTCGAGCATATTTTCCTAGTATCGCGAAATTTCCATCACAGGACAAGTTGTCTCATGAGTTAAGACAAAATATTCAGGAGGTGGAGCATGTTCTTAGTAAAAGTACTATAGATGCTAATCTACCCCAACAGTAAGTTGTAAGGAGGTAGGAATAACAAAGAGATCTAGAAAGGAAGAGGGATGTTAAACAGACAAAGACTTGCCGTTATGGGCAAAATCGAAAATTTCATTGTTTGAGCCATTTTAATTAGATTGATTTAGTATTGGATTTTGTCATAATCATTAAATAAAATAAAAATTAATGAAAAGTACTTCAAATCTTTGTATTTTAATAAATAAAAAAATCATTCATTAACTTTATTTAATACTAAAAACAAAAAAATAAAAAATAAAAAAACCATAAAAAATTCAAATTGCAGTCGCCGTGTCCCCCCACCTCCCTTTTCCACACTCCACTTTTTTCCCCTATAGTCAGCTACATTAATAGATTTTATTTTATTTTTTTATTTCTTTGTTTTTTTTGCTTAGAATAAGAAAAAAACTTCAAATTGAATTACATTCTCCAGTATTATTTTTGTGGTGTTGTTTTCCAATAGCAGTCAAGATGACGATAGATTTTTCATTGTGCCCAAAACACGGGATGATACATCACGTGTCTCTATACAAGTTGTGAGATTCTTATGTTAAAAAATTAATAACATAAAAAATAAAATTTCTCACCACTTACATAATAACAGGGGGTGTACCATTTGCGTCACGGGCATAACAAAAAATTTCTCCAAGATGACATCCAAGCTCAAGAAATTGGATGGAGAGCTACATTTATTATTGTAGGTATGTGAAAAATGTGAGGAAATTTTAATTTGGTAATTGAAAACAGCTTTTTGAATAATTATTGAGAACATAACCTTCTCGAGGTTTTGATCTAAAGGATCACTTATAGGTTCATTGTTTTTGGCACAATAGGTGCTTTTGCAGGACCAAAAAGGGTCCAAGTTTCAAACCTTATGAAACTGAACCAAGAATTAAACACTATTTATAAAACTTGACCAATAAGTAGAACTACTCATGAAACTAGACCAATAAGTAGACCCTATTTATGAAACTGGACACTACTTATGAAACGAAACCAAGAATTAGGCATTATTTCCAAAACTAAACCAATAGGTGGAAGCTATTTATGAAACTGGACTATACACTATTTATGAAACTAAACTAAGAACTAGACAATATTTATGAAACATGACCAAGAACTAGGTATATTTATGAAAGTGGATCAATAACTAAGTACTATTTATGAATTCGAACTACGAAAGAGACATTATTTATGAAACTGTACCAATTACTATACATTATTTATGAAACTAAACCCAATAACTAGGTACTATGTATGAAACATGACCAGAAACTAGACATTATTTATGAAAGTAGACCAAGAATTAGACACTATTTATGAAATTGGACCAATAAATATTGTAGTACTGTTTAGTTTAATAAAAACTGCATGTCATTTTTTTTTATTTAATGGTGTCATTTTCATTAAAATTTAAGTTCTTTTGTCATTTTTACTAAAATTTAAGGGGTTTTCGTTAAAATTTAATTTTTTTTTCCATTAATAAAGTTATAGCATAGTTTTTTTGTTAAAATAAACTTAGCTCAAACCTTTTTCATGAAAGTTACCTTAAATAAAATTATCACATGGTTTTTTGTTAACATTCAAAGTTTTCAAGCCATTATCGTTAGTTTTCTTTTTGTTTTATGATTGTGCGTAACTAATTCTATTTTTTGCTAGGGCGACGCCACGAGCCTTAGCAATAATATGTAGTTTATTTTCAATTTTCTTATGACATTATGCATGTAGGTTTTGAATTATTAATCACTGTGTTTGAAATTATCTAATTGTCTTGATGCTTGATCACCATTAGGATATTTAAAGAAGTAATTTGATGCAATTTTGGTAGGGGACTATCCCTGAAATTGACGAAAGTTTCTTGGTTCATATGTGTAACATCACTTAGGATGAACACCACGCCTTAAGGGTTGCATGGTTTTTCAAAAAGTTTTCACAGAGCTTAATGAGTCTTGCATGTTTAGATTCGATATGGACACCACAGACGAGTTGCATGTTTGATATACGTTCTATGTTAAGGGTCCAAGTAGAGCATACTTTAGGAAAACCTAACCTTCAAAATATGCATGTATAAGTCATAAGTAATTAGAAAACTACGTATGAGGTGACGGCGAAACCCTAGTGCTTAAATTGATTTTCAAAACCGTTTTCTTTACTTTGCCGCTTTCTTTAATTGTTTTAATTTAAAATTCATTTTTATTATTTTAGGTCATAAAATCAACCTTTTAGCCAAACTTTGTTTTAAATAATTAATTAAAATTTGATTTTACATAAATTTTTTTAACTAATCTCTGTAGAGAACGACCTTACTTGAGCTAAGAAACTATGATATCCCTACTTTTGTAGGTGGTAAAAATCTTGTCATGTACACAAAGATGGGTCATCCATACAAATTGGGATTCAAGTGTCTTTTTTTTTTCTTTTTTTTTTTTTTCATCTTGGTTGTGCTCATATCTGCTACAATTTTCTCGTTGTTAGGGGATAAATGACAATTTCATGAAGGTTGTCAATCAGCGTTGCTACATCCGTTTTTGTCTCATAAGTGATGTACATTAATCTGTTGCATGTACTCAAATCGCCAGATTTATAGGTTCCAAACTTGAACTCCTCGTTAGTGGATATTAATAAAGTTCAAGCCCTAATTGAAAATAACTCTCCATCGGATGGTATGATCCAATTCTATAAGTTTTCCACCTTAAGATGTTTGTCCTAGATGTGACAACGGAAGCCCCAAAGAGGCATTTGTACCCAAGCACTAAAATACCTATAAATTACACATGCGTAGGAGAATTGTTTGGATAAAAAATTGATGATAATTGATAATTTTTAATTACAGTAGCTGCTCATATCATTAAAACTATTTAGTCGCATTTTCTCATTAAATGTCGACAAATTGAAAAAAAATAAAATAAAGCCAAATTGGAAAGGTGCAAATTTCATTTTTAAGAGCTATTGGAAAACATGGAATAAAGAAACCTATAATTTACACCCAAATCTTGGGCGTTTGTAATGAAGTGAAATAAACTCACCAGTATGGCATGATGCTTCATATATGCAGTCACATTTATGTAAGTACAGTGTTACTTTAGATGTGAGACTTATGGCATGTGGAGACTGCATGCCAACCACTTGATAATTTATTACTTGAAGCCATTTTTTAAAGTATGAAAATGCCATGAAATTCTTATCCAAAGATTTCAATTTAAGAGCATAAAGCACAAAATATGTACTCAAAACCTATTCTAGATAAATTTGGTTTATATTGCCTCAATGAGTACTTTTGTTCGTTCAAACTAAAATTATATCGTTGCAACATATTCTTGAAAGAGTAAAGAGTGAACTCTTGGTAAGTCTGTAAAGCTATTTGTGTATATGGCGTGTATTCACCATGAAGTTTAATAAAATACTTGTATATTATTTTGGTATTTCTCTAATTTTTTTTCCCAATTGGTTTTTCCAAGTAAGATTTTATCGAGGCAACTATCATTAATTGGTGAACATTTAAGCGGGAGTGTTATAAATATTATTCATTATCTAGTTGTTCACTTTTGGGTCAATATGTCATAGCTCAATAGTTAAACACCTTTCTATGTAAATCCAACAACTATAAATAGGCACTCTAATGAGAAAGAAAACACTCCTTGATTTGTCCTTCATTTTCTCTCTTGTCTCTCTGTATT